GTAACTCCTCTTAATACCCATGACATACTATCTCTTCCATGTATTAGGTCTGATGGAACTTAGTGACTTGGCCAATATCATGGAAATAAAGAGATAGATCTGAGAATGCCCAAGTTTCCCACTGTAAATTCAGTGCTTTCTCAATTGAACCATATATATAAAGTGGGGGGGGTGGTTTGATTGTTTTCCTTTTTGAATCATTTGACTCAGGTTCACTCAGTACTTTTTAAATGTGTTAGTTTCAGGTGTACAACAAAGTGAATCATTTATACATATTTACATATCCACTCTTTTAGGTTCTTTCCCCATATAGGACATTACAGAGTACTGAGTAGAGTTCAATACAGTAGGTCCTTATTAGTTATCTATTTTATTCAATTCATTTTTTGACCATGGGAATTCATATAAGTAGTTATCATAATACCAGTTGCTGGATCTGAAGTACAGATCCTGTGAATTGTGTGAAAGCTTCCTCTTGTGCAGGAATCCTCCTGCAAAATGCATCCTCCATTGCACACTGCCCTGGTTTTCTGTCACAAAGGTGGGGGTTCTGTCTGTAATCATCTTCCTGGAGCAACAGTGGTGGCCATTTCAATGTTACTACTGAGAAGAAACATGAAACAACTTTGTAGCAATCCACAGATGGTTTATTTTATTGCAATTAAGTGATGGCCCTGTTGTAACTCCAAGATGGAGACTATGAAGTCTGAGATAACACCCAATCACTGGGCATTCAGTATAACTGACCCTGACTCTCTCATCCAAAGACATCCTCACATGTCTGGGTTGGCTAAGGTCAATGGCAAACCTGAGGCTTGGCTCCCAGGCACCCAGAACTGAGACCAATGTCATACACATAAAAGTCAATGAATGATAGAACAGTCCGCTTGAATCCAAGCTCTCGATGGTACCTCAGAATTCCCAGTGTTCTGGATTGTTCCCTAAGAGCAGTCTAGTTCTACCTGTTGTGAAGGAAGATACTTCAGGTAATGGACTGAGCATTAGCAGGAGGCTGGGAGTCTGGACAGACCCAAATAGGAGCATGACCGAAGCTGGGGGAGCATGACTGAGCGACTAAGGTGAGGGAGCTGGAGCCTGATGCTATGGTGGGGGTTATAGTCTCTGAAGGTAGATTTCTAGGGTTCAAACTAGCTTCCTCCTCTTACAACTCTTTGGCATTAGATTCTTTTGCAAGAATTAACAAATTCTTGCAGACATCACCTTTCTCTCCTTAAAAATGGAGATGATGATAAGGGTACCTAATTTGTTGGGTTGTGGTCAGATTTTAATGAGTTTATTTATAAAGTCCTTAAAAGAGTTTGTTTAGGTTCATTCATGAGAAAAGCCTTGCATGTGATTGTCACACAAGATAAAGAATTCAAATCATGTTTCTATTATACAAGAAGGGTTATTAATCATCAGCAACACCTTCATTTTAACATTGAGTTGAAAGAATATATTTCTCAAGCATTTACCAAGTATAAGAAATGTATAAATTATTTAAAATTTTGTAAAGGATTAAAGAATTTATGAAGCATTCTGGAGGAATAAAAAGAAAAATAAGCAAAAAGAAGGAGAAAAAGAAACACAAACAACCTGGGATCTGAGAGAAACACAAAGAGGTAGACCCAACCCGAGGACAGAGGGGACTTTTGGCAGCTAGTGGCAATTTTTGAGGAGTGGGAAAAGAACAGAATTTCCAGTGAAGCCACAGATGATCAGTGTGTTTGGCTTGATTTAAACTATCCCACCCAGCACCTGTTAGTCAGACTCTCCTCTCTCAAAATACAGACTCCTCCTCCATGTTAGCTAAGCCACAAAACTCTGTCTGATTGGATTATGCCTCAATATACGAACTTGGGGTGACCTCTTTTGTTAACTTCCATGCATCAAAATCATCCATTATAGGTAATCCAGGTTAAATCAATATTAGATATTTTGTAATGCGATTGACTCCTAAAAATTCATCTTACGGCTATTATGGCCAATTAGGATATACTGTTCACACTCATTATTACATTTAACCTTGAAGACAACACTATGAGAAAGGTCTATTGTTATCACCAATTTGTAGATGAGGAAACAGAAGTGAGGAAGACAATGGAAATTTCCCAGGTCATGCAAGTACTAAAAAGTGGTGAATCAGAGTTTAAATCTCACTTTGCTTTTTAACCACCATTCTGCTGAGCAGAGAGCTGAGAGTGACTTTTTTCTCTGAATGAATTTGGCTTTGCCCCCTGGTAGCTGAGCTAATTACCTACCAGGGCTGGACTGAGCTGACACATTCCCCAGAGAGTTCACAGTATCTCTCCTGTCCACAGTGCTGTATTTAATCTCTGCTTCATGGCCTACCAGAGATATTCTGAATCAGCTATGAGCTTGCAGTACCAACTTCACCAAGATCATTAGTTATGACTTTATTCTACCCATAAAGAGCCTAATGTTTGACTTGATGAGCTGCATGATACTAAGGAAGATATAGAAGAATTAAGAATCTCCAGGAGGTGACAAGGATGACAACACATATGATACCAAGGTAGCCCACAGTGGAGAAACAAGTAATTGTCTTAAGCTTTTGTGGGGAGACACAAGAGTTAGAAATAATTTGTGACCTTCTATGTAGGGTAACATCTTCAAAGTGCTTCAGAATAAACTCCCAGCTGTATGATAAAACCCTCCTGGAGAGTTGAGCAGCTGCATGAGAATTCAGTGAATTGCCAGACCCTGAGGCAGATTACGGGGACTTCCCTGGTGGTTCAGATGGTAAAGCGTCCGCCTATAATGCAGGAGACCCCGGCTCAATCCCTGGGTCGGGAAGATCTTCTGGAGAAGGAAATGGCAACCCACTCCAGTATTCTTGGCTGGAAAATCCCATGGGTGGAGGAGCCTGGCAGGCTACACTCCATGGGGTCGCAATAAAGTTCATGGATCATCTGTATTTACATATACACAGTTTATAATGGTATTAAGCTGATCAGCTACTAGTTAGTCAGTAACTGGTGAATTTAAGAAAAATAGTTAAACTCTTTATGTTGTAAACATAGATGCAATTCTTTGTTCTCAGAGATGTGGTTTAGAGTCCCTTTATTGCCCACCTGAAAATATCACAACATTATTGTCTATATTCCAATATAAAATAAAAAGTTTTTTTAAAAAAGACATCTTTGTTGTTTTCTAGACTTTGGGAAGAAGTTCTAACCAAGCCAAGTTTCAAAAAGAGCATCTTATTATTCAGGCTTCCTTGGTGGCTCAGTGGTAAAGAATCCAACTGCCAATTCAGGAGCTATGGATTTGAACCCTGGGTCAGAAAGATTCTCCAGAGAAGGAAATGGCAGCCCACTCCAGTATTCTTGCCTGGGAAATTCCATGGACAGAGGAGCCTGGTGGGCTACAATCCATAGAGTCCCAAAGAATCAAACACATCTTAACATCTTTGTTGTTCTCTAGGCTTTGGAAAGAAGTTCTAAGCAAATCAAGTTTCAAAAAAAGAATTGTATTATTCAATATAGTCATAAATATTTAAAATACTGGCTTCAGATTTACACATTCACCAAGGTATGCTCAAATTCATGCTTGAATTTGTAAATTTAACATACAATCATAAAGGCGAGGGCAGGGCTGCATAGAACCCTCTCCCTAGTCACTCTTTTGTGAGATGAACTCAGTTCATTTGCTTACTTTAACACAATGCTATCATGTTGGAAAATCACTTTGTCAATTCTTTAAACTTAGAAATATGTATGAGATAGCCATATCCAGAGCTGGAAAATTCATGCTCTTCATTTTGATTTTGCACAGGCCACCTCCCCTTAGTCAAAAGTCCAGCTCCACTCCACTCCTTGCTGAGCAGCTCTAGGACCTTAGTTGTGCATAGAAGTTGGAGGAGCTGAACAATGAGGCCAACTTGGATTTGGAAAATCATGGAAAATGCCAGCAGATAAAGAGTTTCTTGGAAGTAGAACATCAATGTCAGCACCAGGAGCATGCGATTAAGCCATTTATATAATGATACTCTGCTAGGAATTCTGGTTTTTATCCCTGTTTTTTCAACTCTCTCTCTATGTATAGAAGCTTTTCATCCTTTTCTGTGTCCCATAAACTCTGACTGAGTGCCTGGTACTTGCCAGGTACTTTATTGGCACTGAGAAAATAATACTTAATCAATACATTGCCCTCAGAGAACCTGCATTTTCATGGGGGGAACAAACAATAGATAAATAAACATGCAAATAATAGTAAGGTTTCAAATGATGAAGGAATGTAAAATAAGGGTGAGGGAATAAAGCAAGCCAGTGATATGATTTCAATAGAATGGTCAGGCAGACATATCATTGGAATAATGTTCGCGAGAAGGTGGATTGAAAAAGGATACTTCTTCCATCACAAAACTGCTACTTGTCATTCTGTGTTTCCATCATGTCTCTCCACTTCCCAGATTTCTCCCTTATCCTTACTTATCCCACCTTCTCTTCTTGACATCTTTCTACAGAACTAGGCAGTAAAATTTCTCACCCATAACCAGGCCACCTGCTTTGCGATCTGTGAGTCCCCTAAGAATATATCTAGACTTAGTTGGAGAATCTACAAGCAATAAATATGCCAACATTCCAGATCCCAGTGGTGGCTGCGCATTAAAACCCACTTTGGAAGAAGTCTGGGTGTATATCACACCACCAAGATATATGGAATTTTCATACTGAATGAAGATCACACTTCTAATTCTTATGAAATTGTAGCAACAATGTGCCAAACAATGCTAAACAATATGACCAAAATATATTTTCTTTATTTGCATTGACTATCTTTGTCAGATGGATTGCTAAATAATGTTTTTAAATATCAGTGGATGACAAATCATTAATCTTGCCCACATTTAAATATACTATTATATATTTGAATTCACTTCATAAATATTTGATTTTCAGGAAAAGATAAAAGTCAGTGATATATTTACAAAGGAAGAGCAGTCTCACTTTCTGTGTTTTTCTCCCTTGATCCTTCAGATCAAACCAGTCAACTAAGACATGAAGCAAGGAAACGAATCCTCCATTACTGATTTCATTCTCCTGGGCCTCTTCTCAGACTCCAGGCATCCTGGCCTTCTCGTCACCATAATTCTCGTTATTGTTGGGGTAGCCATCACTGGAAACTCAGTCTTGACCCTACTGATCTGGGGTGATGCCCATCTTCACACCCCTATGTATTTCCTACTCAGCCAGCTCTCTCTCATGGACCTCACCCTAATCTCCACCACTGTCCCCAAGATGGTCACTGATTTCTTTTCTGGACAGAGTTTCATCTCTCGCATTGGTTGTGGAGCACAGATATTTTTTTATGTGATGCTAGGAGTGGCTGAGTGTGTTCTCCTGACACTCATGGCCTTTGACCGCTATCTGGCCATCTGCAGCCCCCTCAGATACCCAGTCATCATGACCCCCAGAGTCTGTTTGCAAATGGCCATTGGTTCATGGACTGGGAGTATGCTCATCTCCCTTATGCACACAGTTTATGCCATGAATTTCTCTACTTGTGACTCCAGAAAAATTCACCATTTCTTCTGTGAAATTATGGCCCTTCTGAAGCTCTCTTGTGAGGATACCTCAACCTACGAGAAGGTGGTATTAATAACTGGCATTGTTTTCCTCCTTATACCTTTTGGACTCGTCTTGGCCTCCTACATCCTCATCTTTCTCACTGTCCTCCATATGAACTCCACTGAGGGCAGACACAAAGCTCTGGCCACCTGCTCTTCCCACCTCAGTGTAGTGAGCCTCTACTTCGGTCCAGCTATGATCATCTACATGACCCCAGGTTCCTCTCTCCCCACAGATGTGGACCAGCGTCTCTTTGTGTTTGATGTTATCATCACCCCCATGCTCAACCCCCTTATCTACAGCCTGAGGAACAAGGAGGTACTGGGGGCTCTGAGGAGCATTCTATGGAGAAAGTTGATATTTATGAAAAGATGATGCTGTTTTTTTCTAAAAACACTCATATTCTCTACTGTTCTCCATTTAATGCTGCTGCTACTAGGAAAAGCTTATCTCTGGATTTCAGTTTTTCAGCAAGGATACCAAAGAAATGACACTCCTTTCTGATTTCTAATGTGAACTATACTAAAATGGCAACAAGAAAGTTGCTATTTAACACTGCTACCTTGGAGAAATGTCTGTTTAGATCTTTGGCCCATTTTTTGATTGGGTCATTTATTTTTCTGGAATTGAGCTGCAGGAGTTGCTTGTATATTTTTGAGATTAATCCTTTGTCTGTTGCTTCATTTGCTATTATTTTCTCCCAATCTGAGGGCTGTCTTTTCACCTT